TACCTGCCATCAACAGACACTGAGTGGGGAAGCAGGGCAGAGATGGTAGGAAGCAACACCTTGATTTTCCATGGTGGTCTTTCCCAAGGAACTAAGAATCATGGCTTGGTTACAAGCCCTCGACAGTAATGTCCAGATTGCATCAATAAACTCTGGATGTCAAACAAGAAGTGATGTGATCTTATAGATGTGATAAAGAAAGAGCCCCTCATGGGAGACCTCTGTTTATTTGTGTCTGTCCTGCTCCTCCTCCAAAGGGCACAGAGTGGTGAACATCTGTCTTCTCCATTCCATTTTATCTTCACATCAACCCTGTGAGGTAGGTTAGGCCAAAAAAAAGCCAGATGATGACATAACATCTTCTTGTAGCAGATAGAATTTAATAGGGACCCAGAGCACATGTGAGGTTGAACTGAGGCTTGACAACCTCCAGGTGGGACCTGGAGATCTCCCAGAATTACAACTGATCTCCAGACAATAGAACTCACTTCCCCTGGAGAAAATGGCTATTTTGGATTCTGTTGCATTGTATACTGCTGAGGTCTCCCCAAACCCTGCCCTCCTCGGGCTCCACCCCCAAAAAACATCAGGTATTTTCCCATGTAGAGCTGGCAACCCTAATTTAATCTATTTCCTGCATGACTGGAATCCTCCCTAGTGCCACAGGGCTGGATTCAGCATGCCAAAATCCTCATGATGTGATCAGCTGTGCTGGTTCTTTGTTCAGTCGGATCTAGTCACCGTGATCCATGCCTTCGTTATATCTATACTGGACTATTGCTCTACTACGGGCTACCTTTGAAGATTGTTCAGAAGCTCCAGCTATTGCAGAATGCTGCACCTAGGCTGCTAGTTGGGGCCAGCTAGTGGAAGCATTACAGTATTACAGCAATTACATTGACTACTGTTTTGTTCCTGAGCCCAATTCAAGGTGTTGTTTTTGTCCTTTAAAGCCTGACATGGCTTGGAACCAGGGTATCTGAAGGATTGTCTCCTCCCATATGTTCCTGCCTGGGGATTAAGATTGCAGGGAGATGCTCTTCTGACATTCCCACCAATCAAAAAGACTCATCTGGTGAACAACAAAAAAGGGGGACTTTTCAGTGGCAGCCCCTCAATTATGGAACAAGCTCCAAAGGAGGTGTGCCTAGTCCCCTCATTGTTGATCTTCAGGTGGCAGTTGAAGACAGTTATTTAGGACTGCATTTGCCTGATTTAGTGTTTATTGTTGACAGTAGGGATGGGTATGATCCTCAAAGATGTGTTTTGGTTCATGGTTCGTGCCTGAACCATGAACTGAACCACAAATTGAATGGGCAGGCCCTTATACAAACTAAACTAGTTTGTTTCAGTTCATGCCCCCTGCTTTCTGCTCCCGCCAAAAGTGGTGTGGAGCAGAAAGCAGGGGGTTAAATGGGCCCTGCTTTCTGCTCCCCACCGCTTTTTGTGAGGAGCCGGAAGCGGGGGTTTCCCCACAAAAAGTAGTGAAGAGCAGAAAGAAGGGGTTTTAAATGGCTCCAAGTCATTTAAACCCATGCTTTCCGCTCTTCATGAACTGCCACAAACTGCTTTAAAATGCGTGGAAATTCAAAGCAGCTCTTCAGTTTGCAAACCATGAACCACCCCAAATTCATCATGAATTTAAATTTGTGAGCTGGTTCATGCCCATCCCTAATTGACAGTCCTAACTGGAGTTTTTAAATTGTGACTTCTTCTTTTTTTTAAAAAAAAAATTATTGAGAGAAATGCAACAGAACAAAGAAAAAAATGTGACTTCTATGAGGTTTATAATTTTTAATTTTGTTTCCCCCCCCCCCCATCATCTATACTGTAAGCTGCTTTGAGTTCCACATGGGAGAGTATAGCCTCTGAATAAGGCAATTTATGATAAACCCTTGGGGGAGGGGACTGCATTAAAATTGGTGATGGGATGAAATTCCCCACAAATCTTTGGAAATGGAATTTGGAATTCCAGGGCTGGTTTACAGGAGGGTATGTCATAAGACTGTGTTTTTTCTAATATGTTTCTTCAGGTGGTTTTGGGAAGGGTCATTCTGCTGAGCCCCATTACAAAGTGGAAGATCTGTTGCAAATATTTACTTATTTACCCTGTCTCTCCAGAACTGGCTATATGCAGCTCAGAAAAAGAAAAAATTAACAACACAACATGGAATTTAAAGCAAACACATAAATCCGTAGGGTTGCCAGCTCTTAGCTGGGAAATACCTGGAGATTTTGGAGGTGGAACATGAAAAAAAGCAGGGTTTGAGAAGGGGAGGGACTTCAATGGGCATAATGCCACAGAGCCCACCTTCCAAAAACTTTCTCCGGGTGAACTGATCTCTGGTGCCTGTCAATTATAATCCCAGGGGATCTCCAGTTATGACCTGGAGGCTGGCCACCCTAAAAATCCGGCAAACTATGCAGTTTAGAAGACGAATATACAAGAAGGAGTTGAGCAAACTGAAAGAAAATAGGGGACTTTAAACATGCATATGTAAACACCTTCTGCACTTAGTGAACAGTTAGTAATGAAATTGTGCCTAGATTTGCAACATGGAAAAATATTCTTGATTGCAGAGAACTGTGGCTGCAATCCACACACACTGGAGCGAGGAAATCCCATTGTCCTGTATCACATAATCCCCCTGTTGAACTGAGTCCACTCGTGGAGAGTTCATTGCTTGTTTTTGTGAAAAACAAGTAACCATTTTTCATCTGCCAAGTATAGGGCGGGTGACCGACTCCATGGAAGAATCAGGTGTTTTGATGTATTCTCAAAATTTGTTTTGCAGCCTCTTGTTTTTCAGCAGGTGGATGATGGAACTCTGGGCCAAATTATGCATTCTGTGGGGTGAGTACCTGTATTCATTAGTTTCTTCATAAGGTATCCAAGAAGCAGCGTTATTGGCTGAGAGATAAACCTGAACATTTTGGGAAGGGAGAGAAGGAAAGGGAGTGAGGGAAAGGAATGTATCCCAGGCACTTCTGCCCGTCAGAGGGGCTGGCGTGCCGGCCCCTCTGTCAGGCAGAAGCCCTGGATTCCCCTCCCCCCTTCCCTTCACCCAGCTTGGAGGCAAGGCAAAGGGAGAGAGGGAAAAGAATGGATCTCCAGCACTTCTGCCTGCTGGTGGTACCCTGAATATATGGGTATGCCCTAATCGGCCAGCCGAATCAGACCAAAGAATCTGATTCAGTAACTGGACATCCCGTATAATGCCAAATAGGCCCATCCCTAGCAATGAAGATGGCGAGGAGTCTGGAGACCAAGTCCTATGAGGAAAGGTTGAAGGAGCTGGGTATGTTTAGCCTGGAGAGGAGATGACTGAGAGGTGATATAACCATCTTCAAGTACTTAAAGGTCTGTCATATAGAGGATGGTGCGGAGTTGTTATCTGTTGCCCCAGAAGGTCGGAGCAGAACCGATGGATTGAACTTAAATCAAAAGAGTTTTTGGCTAAACATTAGGAGGAGCTTCCTGACAGCTGGAGTGGTTCCTCATTGGAACAGACTTCCTTGGGAGGTGGTGGGCTCTCCTTCTTTGGAGGTTTTCTAACAGAGGCTAGATGGCCATCTGACAGCAATGCTGATTCTGTGGACTTAGAAAGATCATGAGAGGGAGGGCAGGAAGGGTTGCATCAGTGCTTAGTTCTTGTGGCCCTTTCTTACATGCCGAGGGAAATTATGATAGCCACTTCGGGGGTCAGGAAGCAATTTTCCCCCAGGCCAGTTTGGCTGGAGATCCTGGAGGGTTTTTGTCATTTTCTGGGCATGGAACAGGGGTCACTGGGGATGTGGGGGGAGGTATTTGTGAATTTCCTGCATTGTGCAGGGGGTTGGATTAGCTAGCCCTGGAGGCCCCTTCCAACTCTATGGTTCTACTGCAATTAATGGCTGTGTGTAGAACTGAATCCAGGCATCACCATTCCAAGTCCAACACCCTATGCATTACATCACTAAGAGTGCCACCCTAAGCAGACTGACATCCTTATATGTCCATTGAGGTCAATAGACTAGTTTAATCACAGAATGGTGAAACTCTGCTTAAGATGGTAATGACGCTCTCTCCCTTATAGTACATCAGATTTTTGGTCATTTTTTCTCTGCCTTCATGGACACGCATATTCAGATAATGCCCCCCCTTAATCCACACCCCAGGCAAGGAAAGTCTCCTCTGAGGCTGCCTAAGTGGTTAGAGGAGGACTCCAAGCCATCGGCCCACCAGGAATCTTCCCAGTGGCGATAATGGCCAGTCCTTCCCAAACATAGATTACCATAAAGCACAGGCCCACTCACTTTGATGGCCTCCTAAAAACACAGTGAAAAGTTTATTTGGGGCTCTCTAAAAGCTTGGTTTTTTTCCCTTTAGGAATGTCAGTTGCTCCTACCTTGATGGTAGCCAGCCTGATCCCAAGGACATTGGCCTCAAGTCCTGTAGGAAAAGAATTTGCCACAGCTTTCATGCAGAACGGCTTGCCACGAGCATCACATGGGGATTTCAAGCTGATTATCTCAGGGTATGCTCCTGACACATCTGTCACTATTCATATGAAACGGCCAGCAGTGAGGGCAGTGACCCGAGTGAATGATGGTCAAACCCTGTCTGTGACAATCCCACCTGAAGCAGAGATGGTTGGGACTGGTTTGTTTGACAACACAGTCACTGTCCGGGCTGACAAAGATATCTCTGTCCTCTCCGTCAATAGCAAACCTAACTCAGTTGATACTACCATAGTCTATCCAGTGACAAGCTTAGGAACCGAGTATTACATCGTCACTCCAACCGTAGGCACAGATCGCTCCCGAGAGTTTGCCATCATCGCCTGGGAGGAGCCCACATCTGTTGACGTCTACCTGAAAGGGACTGTGACATTTCAGGGGAAAAAATATTACCATGGGAACAAGATCTCCATTGCACTTAGTCCCCACCAAGCTGTCCAGCTACAAAGCGAGATGGACGTCTCGGGTACTAAAATAGTCTCTCAGAAACCAGTGGCTGTCTACAGCGGCCACACGTGCGTCTCTAGACAAGTCTCTTGTGACCATGTTTCTGAGCAGCTGTTGCCTGTTTCTAGCTGGGGTACCGACTTCATCGTCCCCTCTCTTCCCTTTGACAAGGAGTATGACATAGTGTATGTTTCTACTTCCCAAAATACTCAAGTTGAAGCTCAGACTGGAGTGAGCAAGAACATCAGGGCTTTGGGTGCTGCTCGAGTGCTGTTTTACGGCATTCAAGGCTCGACCGCCATGTCCCTCTCAGCTAGCTCGGGCATTCAAGTTACCTTCTTCGGTGATGGTGGCACTCATGGTAACTTCCGCTATGATCCTTTCTTCATGGCAATCCCCCCGGTCTCTAGTTACTGTCAGGCCTACAATATCTACGGACAGGACGAATGTGAGAACTACGCGCTGATCATTGCCAAATCATCAGAGACTTCTGGGATCACCCTGGACAAGCGACCACTGAGAAATCTCCAGTGGAATCCAGTTCCTGGCACTGAATTCTCCTGGGCATCACACAGCTTAGGCCACAGATACACAGTCCATGTAGTGGAGCACCCCACCTCCCCCTTCGGGCTGCTGAGTGTTGGGGTCGGGAACGCGAAGGCATACGGCTCCCCAGCAGTTTGCACAAAAGGTAATGACAAATCTGCTGTCCCCTTTCTTTCCTATCTCCCTTCTTTTGTCTGTTTACCCAACTTTACATAAGAACCACAGACCTTATTCCCAGGAAAGTCTGAGGGCCACTTTCCCCATTACATTTTTAGATGTACATTTGTAGGATAAAATGCAACATAGAACTGAGATGAACAAAGGTGTCTGGAAATGGATGTACAGCGAAGATTATTCACACATCATGGAGAACACAAGTTGGTTCTGGCATCCCCACCCTTTGTCTTATATAACATTCACACATGAGTTGCAGATTATCCAGAACTCCTGCAAACGCATTGCCCAATTTGGATTATGAGTGTTACACACATGGAGAAAGGGCTTCAGCCCCCCCCCCCAATTTCCTAACCTGAAATGGTCCAGGGAGCACTATTTGGGGGAAACCCACAACTGCACTTGTAGGTTCCCTCAATCAGCCAAATAGTACACCACTGAGACCATTGCAGGTCAGGAGAATGGCAAAGTCTGGAGCCACTTTTCCATGTATACCACAGCGGCTCTCCAAACTCTGCGCAGCACAGAAAAATTAGCAGACCTTCCCATAACTGGATTTAGTTAGTAGGTGGAAGGGGTAAATCTCCCTCCATAAAATGAAATCTAGCCCTCTGTTTGCTACCATGCAATGTACAGAACAGCCTTGATACACCTTGAAGACAACGTCTATTGGACTGGAGCAGCGTATTCAGTCTTGCCTTGCCGCAGCGCAATCCAATGCAGAGTCACTCCAGTCTAAATCCATTGAGCGATAGGGTTGCTTTGCTAGTTGCCCAAAAGGCTGACTCCCATCCACGTAGGAACCAGGTCTGACCCTGCTTAGCATCTGAGATCAGACAAGATCAAGTGGTGGTATGGCTATAGGTTGGTACTTGGATGGGAGTCCACCTGAGAATAACGGATGACGTAGGGCCTATGGCCGTACCACCCTGAACACACCTGATCTTGTCTGATCTCAGAAGCCAAGCAGAGCTGTGCCTGGTTAGTACTTGGATGGGAGACCACCTGAGGATACCAGGGGCTGTAGCCTAAATGACTGGACCTGTGGACTTTAGAACATAAGAACATAAGAGACGCCAATGTTGGATCAGGCCAAAGGCCCATCCAGTCCAACACTCTGTCACACAGTGGCCAGAAATACCAGGTGCCATCAGGAGGTCCACCAGTGTGGCCAAGACATTAGGAGCCCTCCCACAGTTGACCCCCCCAAGCACCAAGAAGATCACTTGCCTCAGAGCCCCTATCTGTACCTTGTGGCTAATAGCCACTGATGGACCTCCGCTCCTTATTTATTTATTTATTTATTTATTTATTACTTTCGGCTTCTACCCCGCTCGAACCCCCCAAGGGGTCTCTGAGCGGCTTACAGTTACTCTATTATCCCTAACTATGGCCACATCTTAATTGCCATATGCTTATCTAATTCCCTTTTGAAGCCTTCCATGCTTGTAGCCGCCACCACTTCCTGTGGCAGTGAATTCCATGTGTTAATCACTCTTTGGGTGAAGAAGTACTTCCTTTTATCCATTCTAACCCAACAGCTCAGCAATTTTATTGAGTGCCCACGAGTTCTTGTATTGTGAGAAACGGAGAAAAGTACCTCTTTCTTTACCTGCTCTATCTCATGCATAATCTTATAAGCCTCAATCATGTCACCCCTCAGTCGTTGTTTCTCCAAGCTAAAGAGCCCTAAGCGCTTTAACCTTTCCTCATAGGGAAAGTGTTCCAACCCTTTTATCATTCAAGTTGCCCTTTTCTGCACTTTTTCCAAAACTATAATATCCTTTTTAAGGTGTGGTGACCAGAACTGCACACGGTATTCCAAATGAGGTCGCACCATTGATTTATATAGGGGCATTATTATATTGGCTGATCTGTTTTCAATACCCTTCCTAATAATCCCCAGCATAGCATTGGCCTTCTTTATTGCAGTCACACACTGTCTCGACATTTTCAGTGAGTTATCCACTACCCATCAGTGTGTATTTATATTTAGGATTTTTGGCTCCAATGTGCATCACCTTGCACTTGGCCACACTGAACCCCATTTGCCATGTTGACGCCCACTTGCCCATCCTTGACAGATCCCTTTGGAGTGCCTCACAATCATCACTGGTTTTCACCACCCTGAACAACTTCATATCATCCGCAAATTTAGCCACTTCACTGCTTACTCCCAACTCCAAATCATTAATGAACAAGTTAAAAAGCAGTGGACCAAGTACTGATCCCTGCGGTACCCCACTGCTTACCACCCTCCACTGAGAACATTTCCCATTTATACTCACTCTCTGTTTTCAATTAATTAGCCAGTTTTTGATCCATAAAAGGACTTGTCCTTTTATCCCATGATTTTTGAGCTTACTTAGGAGCCTTTGATGAGGAACTCTATCAAAAGCTTTCTGGAAGTCAAGGTAAACAATATCTATTGGATCCCCCTTGTCCACATGTTTTTTCACTCCCTCAAAGAACACTAACAGGTTAGTGAGACAAGATCTTCCCTTACAGAACCCATGCTGAGTCTGCCTCAATAGGTTTTGTTCATCTATGTGCCTACTAATTCTTTCCTTAATAATGGTTTCCACCAATTTACCCAGTATCGACGTCAGACTGACTTGCCTGTAATTTCCTGGATCTCCTCTGGAACCCTTTCCATCAGGGTACAACAAAAGTAGGCAGGATTACTAGGAATAGATTGTTTCCCAGGTTGTTTCCCAGGACCCTCACAAGCCCAAGAAAACCTTGAATGAGGAAAAGGACTGCATGACCGTGTTTGGGAATCTTGTGGTCATTCTCCCACCAACTGCCTCCTACAGGTTGTCTAGCATGCATTAATTTGGTTTCTCATGCACTGCAGATCCCTGCAAAGCACTGCAATGCCGAGCAAAGGAAACATGCAAAGTGCAGAATGGTCAAGCAAGTTGTGTCCATGAGTACAAAGGGACCTGTCAGGTCTCCATGTCCCAAGATGTCCAGACCTTTGATGGCCTCATTGTAGACCTCCAAGACTCTTGCTCCTACACCCTTGTGAAGTCCTGCAGCAGCGACGCCAACCTTGTACCTTTCACAGTTGAAGAAAAGAGTGGCGACATAGACATCGAGGCAGCCTTCAAGATGCAGATTACCCATATCAATGTCTATGATTACAACATCACCATTAGCAAGGGAGAAGGTGCCCAAATCATGGTAAGAAAGAATCATGGATCTTTTGTTCACGGTGTTTCTGTTTATAGTTACAGGAGTTAAACCACCAAGAGTGGGTAAAAAGTTGGTATAACCGAGTGGAAAAGTCTAGGAATCCCAATGAACCAGCTAAACTCCTAGGAATGATTTATTTATTTATTTTACAATTTATACCCCACCCTACCCCACTGGAGCAAGGGGTTTGATGATGTGTTTGATGATACCTGGCAAATAGCTCAGAAGATCTCATAGTGCAAAAAGCTGGGCTTAACAGAGAAGAAAGTGTCAGAAGTGTCTATAAGAACATAAGAGAAGCCATGTTGGATCAGGCCAGTGGCCCATCCAGTCCAACACTCTGTGTCACACAGTGCCCCAACCCCAGGTGCCATCAGGAGGCCCACCAATGGGGCTAGAACTTCAAAAGCCCTCCCACTGTTACCCCACAGGCACCAAGCACCCCTGCCCCAGACAGAGTGTTCCATCTGTACCTTGTGGCTAATAGCTACTGATAGTCCTCTGCTCCAGATGGTTCTCCAGTGAAGCTGTCTATGCTTGTATGTAGCCAACACCACTTCCTATGGCAGTGAATTCCACTTGTTAAAATGTCCAAGCATCATTCATTAAGAGCACCTCAAAGTATATGTACTATTCACCACTAGAGACCACAGACACATCCATCCATCCATTCATTTGATGTGTTTATATACCTCCTTTTTGTTCAGGCATTCCTCACAGGGAGGCATCCACTCATAATTGGATATTGCACTATGCTAGAACAATAATTCCTAATTTGATAGGGTTGTCCAGGCAGCAGAATCCATGTGTGATTTATTGGTATAGTACAATGTTGAGCAATATCCAACCATGGCCCATTCTGCAGCTAGCATTTGCTCCGCTGTTTTGCCAAACCCATGTTGGAACAGAAATTCCCCTCTACATTGCATGATGCCACTTTCACTTTCTTTGGTTGTTGGATTTTATTGTAGCCTCCACACTGCATGCCAGTTTCACTTCCTTTGATCTCTCGGTTTTATGGTACTGTCTTAATAGATTTATGGCCTTTTTATGGCCGTTCAGGGGTGACTCTGCACTGCAGTCAGTACAGCGTTGGCCCTGTGGTATTCGAATGTGGTTTGGAGCCACATCTTTTCCTGTTCCAGTGTGGGTTTGGTAAAACAACGGAGCGAATGGTAGATGCAGCATGGGCCCACATGTGCATGCAGCTCAGTTTACGATTTCAAAACATTCTAAGTAAAAAAAGAGGGACGAGGAGGAATCCACCCCAGGCATTGGTGGTCTCTCCAGCATCTGCCAGCCTGAGTATCTTTGCACTTTTCAGTGGAAGCCACATGTCAGAAATATGGTCCTTTCCTTCCACAGGTAAATGGTGCAGTGGCCAGCCTCCCAGCCACCCTGCAAGATGGAAAAATCAAAATCTCCAAGAACGATGGGCTGCCGATCATTGAAACAGATTTTGGCCTCCGGGTGATGCATGACAAGAACTTCACAGTCGTGCTGACTCTCCCGAGTAGCTACTACGGAGCCACCTGTGGACTCTGCGGGAATTTCAATGAAGACAGAGATGATGACATGGCTTACCCCAATGGCACTCAAGCCTCTTCCATTATGGACTGGGTCAGCAGTTGGGAAGTCCCAGACCCTGCCTGCTTAGAGGCCTGCCAAGGACTTTGCTCGGCCTGTGATGAGGGCCAGGAGGAGCTGTACGGCCATGAAAAGTATTGCGGCGTGATCAGCAAAGTTTCCGGAGGACCCTTCAGAGCGTGCCATTCCACAGTGAGCCCCTCTGAGTACTTTGACGAATGCGTCCTTGAAATGTGTTTAAACAGAGGGGACAACGACACACTGCGTCAAATGGTGGAGACCTATGCCGCTGCTTGCCAGGAAAAGGGCATCACTACAGTTGACTGGAAAACACTCTCTTACTGTGGACTGGTGTACCCTGTCCTCCAGCTGAATGAGATTCTTGTCCCAGGTATTGTCCCAGGAATATTTATTAGCAGGGCTTTTTTTGTAGAAAAAGTCCAGCAGGAACTCATTAGCATAATAGGCCACACCCAACAGCAGAAACATATTAGCATATTAGGCCACACCCCCACGTTACCAGAAGTGTGGTCATCCAGCCACACCCACCTTTTGCTTCTTATTCTGTTGACCTTGTTTGTTGTCAAAACCCAGGGCCTTTTTGTAGCAGGGACTCCTTTGCCTGTTAGGCCACACACCCCTAATGTAGCCAATCCTAATGCGTTTCTGCTGTTGGGTGTGGCCTATTATGCTAATGAGTTCCTGCTGGGCGTGGCCAACTTGGGAGCCAGCCGGAACTCCGTTCCTGTGCGTTCCTGCCCCAAAATAGCCCTCTATTAGTCAGGTAGTGAATGGAGAGGAAATTACAAACACTAAGGGGTGTCTGGGGCCTAAGGACAGGGAGGAAACAATTACACATACTGCTGCAGAGGACCCTTTATAGAGAAGGGCAGCAACCTGGTTGCGTGGAAGCCCAGTTTGCTTCTGTTTTGTCACTACAACTCATGAACGTGCACTGCAGGTAGTCAAATAAGAACCAGGGGAAACTGTAGCAGCATGTCTCCATACAGAAATGGGTCCATAGAGGTACATTAAATTAATGACCCCCTCCTGTGGCTTTCCACATGTAATTTCAAGTTCTGTTTATCAGTCTATCATTGCAACTCATAGCTAACATGGATAGGCAAAATCCATGCATTGGGCCAAAAAACTGCCATTCTTTAGGGCTATGCAAGTAGGGATGGGTATGGATCGGCTCAGAAACAAAGGTTTGTGATGAATTTGGCCGGTTTGTGGTTTGCAAAGTCATGTTCGTGAACTGAAGAGTCACCATGGACTTCCATTAATTTAAAGGCAGTTCATGAAGAGCAGAAAGCAGGGGTTTAAAAAGGCTCCAAGACATTGAAACCCCTGCTTTCTGGTCTTTACAAAAAAAAACAGTAGAGTGGTGGGGATCAGAAAGCAGGGTTTTAAATGACTCAGAGCCATTTAAAATCCTACTTTCTGCTCACTACCACTTTTTGTGGAGAGCCAAAAATCAGGGGTCAAGAACCAATACGAACCGATTCAGTTTGTGAAACAGCTTCCCGATTTGTTTTGGTTCATTGTTTGGCCACGAATCGAACTGCTCATGCCCATCCCTATTTGCAAGCCTGTAAATATGTACTTAGATGGGAGACCGCCAAGGATGTCCAGGGTTGTTATCCAGGGAGGCAATGGCAAACCACCTCTTTGTCTCTTGTCTTGAAAACCTTATGGGGTCGCCCGAAGTCTGCTACAACTTGACTGCACTTTCCACCAGCAAACCTGGGGCAACTCTTCTCCAGATTTGCAAAACATTCTTAGTATTATTTTTTAAAAAGAAATTAATTTGGAAGTAACTCTTTCAAAAATTGGTAGTGATGACTGTCTGTGTGCAGAAGCCCCTCCCCCCAACTTCAGATGGAGATTAGGTAGAAGAACTGGTCAGGAGGAAGAGGAGGAGGCAGGCCTGTAGCTACAGTGGGGGCTCTCGGGGCACACCCCCCGCTTACTGCCAAGCCC